AAAAAAAAAAAAAAAAAAAAAATATTTGATTCAAACAACATAATATGTAGAGTGCAGTAAATTTTAACATCTAAATAGGTGTTAGTCTTCATCAAATAAAGTATTAATGTTAATGAGGGTTTAATAATAAAATAGTAAACTACATATAGATAAAATTGTTAAATTACATTTCAAGACTGAATTAAAATATTAATAATATGAATAAAAAAAAAAAAATATATAAATTTAAATTTAATATAAGATCTTTTCCATAACCAACTTTGAAATTCATATATGATTTTAGAAATCACATTTTAACATAAGTGTTTAATATAATCCAAAAACAGAATGAAATGATCATAAACTTTTCATTGCATTTAAACTAGTTAAATACAATTTTATTGGTACAATGACTATTCTTCAGAATGTTAGTTGAGGTATAAAGTTTAGGTTACCATTATGATAAACCGAAATGTTCAATGAATTAACCCCATTTATCTTGTGAACATGGAAAAATATAATTTTTAAGGTTAACCATTCACATGAAAACAATATGGATATGTTTGATTCGGTCTCTATGAACATATAATCTTTGATGTTTTGGTTATTGGGATCCAATGCTTGTGCATAATTCACACATGTGGTGCGATCCAAATTGTCTGTAGACACAGATACTTGGTAGGCATCAAGGGATTGAAAGCCATTATTTTCATGTCTTACCAATTGTTTATTAAAATCTGATTTTAACATAAAAGCGTGGTAGGCATCTATAAAACTTTCAATGTTATCAGAAGATTCTTTTATACTATGCAACACATATTGACTCATACAACAATCTTCCAACATGTATTGTATGCAAAATTCTTTTTTGATTTCATCTAAATCAAAATTGCTCATTAGTTCAACACATTCATTGAATTTAACATTTAGAGCGGTTGCTTTTTCCATTATGTAATCAATAGAAAATTGTATCAACAAACAGTCAATGTTAATTTGTGATTTATGCAGAAGGTCTAGCATATATTGACCACACAAAATCGTTTTTACACTTCTTTCTTCATTACATTTCAGTGAAATATTATCAACAATATGTTTTAACAAATCATTTGAATTTAATGATTTCCTTTTATTAATGTAGGAATCTAAATATTTTTGAAAATATTTATAGGCAAATAATAACCTTTCTTTGGTAAGGTTACTCTTTAAAAATTTTGTAACTTGACTCATAAATTCCATAAAGTGTTTCTTTATAAATCCAACACTTTGAAACCAAAGTTTACTCAGGTGATAGGGAAATGCTGAGACTTCTCTGAAGTATATTCCTGTAGTAACATTACCTAAAATTACCTAGAAAAAAAGACATGTTAATATAGACTTTGTTTTGAACAAATTTACTGTATCTCAAGAAACACTCAAGTAACAATCTCAGATAAAAGTTTACATACAATTAGCTATTATTAATTTAATAGTACTTATGTTCTGAGTTGATATCTTTAAGCAATTTTTAATTATAATTTTTTTCAAATTTGTATATTTTTAAAATTATCAACTTTCAGTTTAGGATACAGATAAAAAAAAAATCATTATAAAATCATTATTTTTGAAGAATACAAATTAAAAAAAATGACCATTACATAGAGGTCACCATTAGTGGAAGTTTTACTGTATAAACATTCAATTTAAAATAAGAATAAATAACTGATTTTTTTTTTAAATTTTGAATTGTTTATTTACTTAACTTACTACTAAAGCATAACTCAATAATTAATATGTTATTGTATGTGAATTATGAATTGTCAAACT